GACTTTTAATGAATTCAGTACCCTTTATTTTAACAACAGCCAAATTCACAACCCCTCAGTTTATGAAACACAGCGTGACGACGTAATATTTCGTATCACGTTTCCCGTTAATAAGAGTTCTGTTTAGTTCCAAAACTCATAATGGTGCGATTTAAAAATAATACGACACTGTGCTCTGTTTCGTGTGCTGTCCCCACAGGGGGGGGAGTTACCCACACCCTCTTCCTGCAGCAGCAACAGGGTGATTTCGAGGCGAGTTGATTTAACTAGTTAAACCGTTGAAATCTCCAGAATTCGGCGATTCGTTTCAGTACAAAATTTACATTGCTTTAAACCGAAGTTCCACATTACTGATGCCCTCTTAAGGTCTCTCCGAATATTTGCCGTGCACACACACAGAGGAAACCAAAAATATTGCATCTATCTGTTCCACAGGTAATTTTATACCGTCAATCACAGAGTCTGGCGAGGCAATGTCAAAATATAGATTTGAAATTACACTCACCAGCTCGACGATTTGTTGGTAACCGTTCGCGACGCCAATTGTGAAGTTAAAACTTCTTTGCAGCAATGTTGAGCGCATCATCAAATGAGGGAAACTGGACTCGCCTGTCAATACACTGATATTTATTGAGAGACAGACAATTACACACGGCCGGGAGATCATCCTAGTTTCACACTGTCCTTGTGCTCCACCAAGGTAATCTCTGAACCAAAAGACACAAAACATCTAACCAACACGAGGAGAGGCGGGCTCCCAGAAAGCCCGCGTATAATCAATAGCCGATGCGAGACAATGGTCTGCTTGTCTCAAAGAGATGTGCCAGGTCAACCCCCCACGGACATAGGAGAAGCGTTTGACCTGTGACCTCAACATCACAGAGGAGTCTCTGACTGACTACAAGCAGATGTTTGCAGTATCACAGATTCTATAAAACAATAAGAAACTCTATAAACAGATCAGATGAAAATATTCTCTTACACCCAGGGTGCAGTACCACGGGAGCCTGAGGTGGAGGGGGCGCTCCCGGGGCAACCCGACTTGTGGTCATCGTCTCAGCTTGTTCCTGAAATTGCCCCTCTTGAATGTGATGCTGTTCTTCCATCTATTCCAGCCGGTCTCAGCCCTTTACTGCCCTCTACTTCCTCGTGTGAGTCTGCCAGTAGCGCAGCTGGGTTTTCTTTTGCTCGCGAGGAGCTTATCGCGGAACAGGGTAGAGATCCAAGCCTGTCAGGCCTTTTTGCGAACACTGTGGGAGTGGGAGAGAGTGAGGTTTCTAAAAGTTGCTATATCCTGAGGGACGGGGTATTGCTGCGTAAATGGTCTCCTAGGCTCGACGCGTCAGCGGAGAATGATTGGAATGTGGTGACGCAGGTTGTTTAGATACCGTCATGATATTCTGTGTTTGGCTCACGATCACAGGCTCGCAGGACATCTGGGGGTCAATAAGACATATGACAATTTTTTTGGCCAGGGTTGAAACGGGATGTGGTGCAGCACTGCAGGGGGGGTGTAAACCTAACGGGGTCATTCCACCGGCGCCACTCTACCCTATCCCGGCAGTGGGGGAAACTTTTGAGAGGGTTATCATTGATTGTGTGGGTCCACTCCCTAGAACCAAGGCAGGTAATAGCTTTCTTTTGACCATTATGTGTGCCAACACACGGTTTCCGGAAGCGATTCCACTGAAACGGATAACGGCCAAAACAGTGTCACAGCCTTGGTGAGGTTTTTCTCCGTTTTTGGTTTGCCTCGCGTGGTACAGTCCGACCAAGGTACATTTTTTATCCCGCATCTTCTCGCAGGTTTTAAAGCAGCTGGATATACGCATAGTTTCTCTAGCCCATATCACCCACAATCCCAGGGGGCTTTGGAAAGGTTCCACTCCACGCTAAAAACAATGCTTCGGGCGTTCTGTCGTGACACGAAGGACAACGGGGATGAAGGGGTTCATTTATTGTTGTTTGCCGCAAGGGAGGTGGTGCAGGAATCTTTGGGATTCAGTCCTGCAGAGCTGGTATTTGCGCATTCGGTTAGGGGGCCGCTTAAGCTGCTGAGGGAGAAGTGGTTGGGGGAGAGCGAGCCGAAGAACCTGTTAGACTGTGTCTGTGGCTTTAGGGAGAAGCTGAAGAGGGCATGTGAACTAGCGAGGACAAATCTGAGTGACACACAGGGGAGGATGAAGGGCTGGTATGACAGGAAGGCTCGGGATAGAACGTTTGTGCCAGGGGAGAGGGTTTTAGTGTTGTTGCCTGTCCCAGGCTCCAGCTTACAAGCACGGTTTAGTGGGCCGTACCTGGTTAGAGAGAAAGTAGGGGATTTGGACTACCTGATCGAGACACCGGATCGTGGGTGGAAGACTCGCTTGTGTCATGTTAATATGATTAAGCCATATTATGTGAGGGAGCCTCTGGTGAATCCTATTGACAGTATTGTTGTTCCCTCTGCGAGTGTGTCCACTGTGCCGGTGTCAGTTTGTATGTTGGCCCCATCTAGCATTGATGAGAGTAATGACAGTCTTTGTTTTTCAGAGGGGGTTGGAGAACTGGAAGATGACGTCATATTCCGTCCAAGGCGGTCGTGGAGGGACGGTTGACAAACACTGAGTCATTGATCACTCTTGACTGTCATCTTGGCCATTTATCAACAACGCAGTGAGATGATATCAGGGGTTTGGTTGGGTCTCATTGTGAGCTGTTCTCCGATATTCCTTCGCGCACTAACGTATTACAACATGACATCGATGTGGCGGAGGCATTACCCATTAAACAGCACGCGTATTGCGTGAATCCATATAAGCGGGCGCGGTTACAGAAAGAGGTGGAATACATGCTCACTAACAATGTCGCTGAGCCCAGTTTCAGACCATGGAGCTCGCCGTGCTTATTGGTTGATAAGTCAGACAAGACAGATAGGTTTTGTACGGCTTTTCGCCAGGTAAATAACGTGACTAGGCCGTAGGGGGGGGGGGGGGGGTGCTATTTATCCATGGGGTGGTGTGGGGGTTAGGGCTGTCCATACCATGCTGTTAGTACAATTCGTATTTGTTATTGTGCTGACAGTATTATTGTTTCTTGTTTCCTTCTGTTTATGTTCATTCCCCATTTCGCCTTGGGGTTATGGACATAAAGTTGGGTGTGGGGGTGTTATGTGTTTGTGCCCTGATCAGGGGCTCCTAGTGTGATGTGTCATGTCTAGCTGTAGTTTCCTGTTATGGTTTTGTAGTCCTTATCGTTTCCCCTCCAGGTGTACCCATTTGTAATTAACCCAGGTGTGTCTTGTCTCGTCATTACCTCATGTATAAGTATTCTGCCTTCCCCTTTGTCTGGTGCTGATCCTGTCTGTGCAGTATGTGTTCTTGTCTGTCATTACTTTATATTTCCTTTGTTCAACCATGGTGGTAATTATTAATTAAATTCTTTTTTTGATTACTTCAGCTACCGTCTCCTTTATTATGTTCCCTTGACTCGACATTGAGCCTGCTAACAGTCAATGGTAACATAATAGTCACACATGTTTCCACTTGTTTGTACCATTTTCAGGCGATTTGTAATCTGTTCTAGAAAAACGATGTGTTTTTTAGGATTTCAAGAAGCGTATAAAACAAACAATGGATGTATTTTATGAGCATTTATCCATGCTGAAAGTAGATTGAGAGGTTTTAGGAGTGAGATAGAGATTATTATCTAATATATGCATCCAATGAAGCATTGCATGAAGTCTGTTGATGATCAGAGGCTGTTGTTGGGGCTGCATAAACGTTTTTTTATTTGTTTTTGTAGGCAGACCATGCAGGCCAGCCCGATGGTCACCAAGGTTCATGTTTTAATAGCATTTTTACAATAAAAAAAGCCCAGGCGAGCCTAACATGTGAACAAATGGCTTAGACCTCAGAGAGTTTTAGGCTGTTATGTACTGTTGGAGTGGTAAGCTGGTAAGTTGTATTTTGTTGGACGAACGCACTTATTGTAAGTCGCTTTGGATAAAAGCGTCAGCTAAATGCAATGTAATGTAATGTAATGTAAGCAGGCCTATTGTTTCTGGATATTTGTGGAGTTAGGTGGTCCGTGAGTGTTTTTTTATTGGTTAAGTGGTCCTTGGTATGAAAAAGTTTGAGAACACTGCGCTAGTGCATTGTCAACTGGGGGAGCCTCACTGCGGGGAAATTATACAGATGGCTAGTCCGCCCCTGAAAAATGTCTATGCACCCGTTATTATTAATAAAATTTAAGAAATTCAATTTTTATTTTTACCCCTGTCCTAATGCATCACTCCATATCCTCTGTGAATCCTGGATACATCAGAAACACTTTATCTGGACTGATCAGAGTCAGGGTCATGGAGAACAGCAGCAGATGGCTCGGGCTAATGCCTGAGACTCTTCTTTGCTCCTGTTCCATTTCCTTGCTCTGTTCGGTAAACAGTGATTGGTGTCTGGCTGCCCAGTGTGAGGCCAATCAGCTCTCATCTGTGTGTGATGAAAAGTGACATAAATAGATTTGGTCTGAAAGGTTTCCTTTGCTGTGATTAAGAGCCTCGCAGGATGCACGGAGAATTCTGATTCTAACACATTTGCTTTCCATATGCAAACCAGCCGCAAAACAAACTCATCAATTTCACATCAGCTTTCATTTAGCTTAATGGCCAGCCATTAACAAAACCAATCGCCTCCCTCCTGTGTCTCTCTCACCATCATTATTTGAGTAACAGAGCACATGGAATCATATTCACACACACACACCACACACACACACACACACACCCACACACACACACACACACACACCACACCACACACACACAACACACACACACACACACACACACACACACACACACACACACACACACACACACACTATCCTTGTGCAACTCAATTGTGGGGCTCCCGAACTGATTTTACCCCAATTGTGGGGTCCACCCCTTTCCAACTATACTAGACCTCCGTAAAAATCAGGCAATATAGAAAAAAAATTAGAATCACAAAAATCACTTCAAATAAACATAATTCCAAGCTTTTGTCATTATGCTAGTTTTTTACCCACTTAGTGGGGCCCAGTTTCTAGCAGTCAGCACTTATGAGGTCCATTATACACACACACACACATATTTCTAGTTTTCATATCTTGGAAGGGATCAGACACACACATATTTCTAGTTTTCATATCTTGGAAGGGATCAGAGTTACTAGAGACATTATTGAGTTGAATGGACTTTCCTTGTTACCAAAGAAACTGCAGAACAGCATCATGAACATTTACATTCTACTCTGATATTTTTTACACCAACAAATTCACATTGCTGGTAAAATAAGTCATTACTTAGGTGATTAGCCTCATCTTAACATAGAATATAACTAGACAGTAGACATGGCAGTAACATTGAAACACCATGGAGACCAAATCAATAATCCCCTAAAGATCCTTTTCGTTCAACATTGTTTTTTCTTAGAGGCAACAATTAGTAATTCTTGAGAAAAAAGTATAATTCATATAAACTCTCTACAACATTATTTTAATGCTATAAATATTTATTTGTATATTATTGGGGTGTTTCTATATCGTTAAAACAAAATGTACAACTTGACCAATCCCATGACCCAAAAAACAAAACAAACAGGCCTAACAAATCAGTAGACTTTGACCTCCTTTTGAGTTACATTTAACAATGACATATTCTGGTCATTTTGAGGTTCAAATTTGTATAAAGTTTCTCTCCTGTGAAATGTTTCCATGCTTCAATGAGGGATTTTAGACTTTGAAAAACATTTACATGCACAAAAAGATATTTTCTACACTACAGGAGAGAGAAAACCCTAAAAGCAAAAAAGGAAATCTTTGAAAACATGGATGATTCTTTCTAGCAGCATAATCGGAATGCAATGGATTTCCCTTTAATTTATATTAGTTGACGATTCAAAAATGAAAATTTGGTTTGGTTTAGGTAAAGCCCCTAGTTTTGGTAGTGGTACTTGAAATCCTTCTTTCAACATTGAACGTATTTTTCCTTGGTTCAATTTTATTTCATTTACATTCGGAGAGAAGAAATTGAAATGTTCATGTAATACTTAACGGCTCCCCAGTCCCTATTTGTTAGGGCTTGAGGTTCGGCAGGGATACAATCCTCACATGCATCTTTCCCTGGAACCTGGTTCTTGATTGTCCATTTCATAACCCAAGTGTTGTTCCACAGCAGCACTTTCTGCTGACGTCCAGCTGCGTTTCACAAACGTTTGTTTCCCTAGGTGGACAAATAATAACATGTCATAGGTTTAAGAAGTTTAAGAGCCAGTTATTATCATACAGTTAAGAATCTTATAAAACATTTAAAAAGTACCCATATTGCAGATCTGAAAGAATGTTAATGGTGCGACACCTTCTGATCACTTTATTCCATCACAATCAGACACACCATTTTGTTTGATACTAAGAGTTTGATTATCAACAAAGTGATTGGTCAATTTATCTGTAAGCTCCCATTCATTGTGCAGATACAAACTAGCGTCTGGCATAATTTATAGAATTTATCAAAGTTGCAAAATGGTATTCCAGAAGATGTCCGTGTGGCTCATTTACAGTCCTGCTCCAGTGTAGTTTGTGACATCCAAGGCAAATACTTGAAAATGTCTATGTTGCAGAGTAAATGAATACACTTAATTTATTACAGACAGAATACTACTTAAATGTACATAATAATACATGTAAACATTGTAAAATGTAAAAGGTCTTATCTTGGTACATAGTGAAAAGGAAAGAATAAACATATTGTGGAGACGGCTCCATATTACTGAATTACCTCGGTAGTAGCACAGTCACTGTTTGATGCTTATGTAGACATAAAGTTCCAAGGAGAGCGTCTCGTCCTCAACTCCCTCCCTGGATTAGTCTGCCCGTTTGTCACCTGGAACTGAGATACAAAAATAATGCACTAAGAAGATAGTAACCATGCATATAATCATTAGTTGCTGAAGTTAGCTAAATGACAAACTATCTGAAACTGGATTTGGATCAAAACAAAGGCATGGCATTATTTAGTCCTGTGGTCTCAATACATTTTACAATATCAAAAAGGGGTTGCAATGGACTGCTTTCAAATTACCCTTTCAAACATGCACAGGCTCAGGAAGTGTAGAATTATACATACAATGACCTACTATTAGATGTGATAAAGGTACTTTAGAAATAATTTTATTCATTTTAGGTCCTAACCAAACGGGAGGGCCCCATAAGGACAAGACTAGAAACAAGTGTGTGTGACAGGTTTCTGTAACTACTCCCATCGAGGCTAATGTAAATGATAACCGTTTTAACCATGCTTATGCTCACAAAGTGTTTAACTTACGCTACAACAACTTGAGTTTAGATTCTAAAAGGTGTTGCACAAATGTTTTTAAATGACTTTAAGTTATAACCAAATGGGAGGGCCCCATAAGGACAAGACTAGAAACCAGTATGTGTGACAGGTTTAAGTAACTACTCCCATCGAGGCTAAGGTAAATGATAACCGTTTTAACCATGCTTATGCTCACAAAGTGTTAACTTACACCTACAACAACTAGAGTTTAGATTCTAAAAGGTGTTGCACAAATGTTTTTAAATGACTTTAAGTTATAACCAAACGGGAGGGCCCCATAAGGACAAGACTAGAAACCAGTATGTGTGACAGGTTTAAGTAACTACTCCCATTGAGGCTAAGGTAAATGATAACCGTTTTAACCATGCTTATGCTCACAAAGTGTTAACTTACACCTACAACAACTAGAGTTTAGATTCTAAAAGGTGTTGCACAAATGTTTTAAAATTATTTTAAGTTATAACCAAACGGGAGGGCCCCATAAGGACAAGACTAGAAACCAGTGTGTGTGACAGGTTTATGTAACTACTCCCATCGAGGCTAAGGTAAATGATAACCGTTTTAGCCATGCTTATGCTCACAAAGTGTTAACTTACACCTACAACAACTAGAGTTTAGATTCTAAAAGGTGTTGCACAAATGTTTTTAAATGACTTTAAGTTATAACCAAACGGGAGGGCCCCATAAGGACAAGACTAGAAACCAGTATGTGTGACAGGTTTAAGTAACTACTCCCATCGAGGCTAAGGTAAATGATAACCGTTTTAACCATGCTTATGCTCACAAAGTGTTAACTTACACCTACAACAACTAGAGTTTAGATTCTAAAAGGTGTTGCACAAATGTTTTAAAATTACTTTAAGTTATAACCAAACGGGAGGGCCCCATAAGGACAAGACTAGAAACAAGTGTGTGTGACAGGTTTAAGTAACAGATCCCATTATAGTCTAAAAATATGTTCAATTTAGTTTCCTCAGTCAGATCTACACAAATCACTCAATTAGTAACAGGATTAAAGCTGTATCAGAAAAGCGTTTTTTTTTAAAAAGGTCCTCTCTTGAAAAGGACAACATTAACATATTGTGGAGACAGCTCCATATTACTGAATTACCTCGGTAGTAGCACAGTCACTTGTTGATGTTTCGGGGAAAGTCAAGTCTAAGGGGAGCCTCTCCTCCTCAACTCCCTCTGGATTAGTCTGCCCGTTTGTCACCTGGAACTGAGATACAACAATAATGCACTAAGAAGATAGTAACCATGTATATAATTATTAGTTGCTGAAGTTAGCTACATGATAAACTATCTAAAACTGGATTTGGATCAAAACAAAGGCATGGCATTATTTAGTCCTGTGGTCTCAATACATTTTACAATATCAAAAAGGGGTTGCAATGGACTGCTTTCAAATTACCCTTTCAAAGATGCATAGGCTCAGGAAGAGTAGAATTATACATACAATGACCTACTATTAGATATTAAAAAAGGTACTTTAGAAATCTTTTAATTAATTTTATGTTATAACCAAACGGGAGGGCCCCATAAGGACAAGACTAGAAACAAGTGTGTGTGTGACAGGTTTCTGTAACTACTCCCATCGAGGCTAAGGTAAATGATAGCCGGTTTAACCATGCTTATGATCACAAAGTGTTAACTTACGCCTACAACAACTAGAGTTTAGATTCTAAAAGGTGTTGCACAAATGTTTTTAAATGACTTTAAGTTATAACCAAACGGGAGGGCCCCATAAGGACAAGACTAGAAACCAGTGTGTGTGACAGGTTTTTGTAACTACTCCCATCGAGGCTAAGGTAAATGATAACCGTTTTAACCATGCTTATGCTCACAAAGTGTTAACTTAAGCCTACAACAACTTGAGTTTAGATTCCAAAAGTTGTTGCACAAATGTTTTTAAATGACTTTAAGTTATAACCAAATGGGAGGGCCCCATAAGGACAAGACTAGAAACCAGTGTGTGTGACAGGTTTATGTAACTACTCCCATCGAGGCTAAGGTAAATGATAACTGTTTTAACCATGCTTATGCTCACAACGTGTTAACTTACGCCTACAACAACTAGAGTTTAGATTCTAAAAGGTGTTGCATAAATGTTTTAAAATTACTTTAAGTTATAACCAAACGGGAGGGCCCCATAAGGACAAGACTAGAAACCAGTGTGTGTGACAGGTTTAAGTAACAAATCCCATTATAGCTAGTCTAAAAATATGTTCAATTTAGTTTCCTCAGTCAGATCTACACAAATCACTCAATTAGTAACAGGATTAAAGCTGTATCAGAAAAGAGTTTTTTAAAAAAGGGTCCTCTCTTGAAATTAACATATTGTGGAGACAGCTCCATATTACTGAAATACCTCGGTCGTAGCACAGTCACTTGTTGATGTTTCGGGGAAAGTCAAGTCTAAGGGGAGCCTCTCCTCCTCAACTCCCTCTGGATTAGTATGCCCGTTTGTCACCTGGAACTGAGATACAACAAGAATGCACTAAGAAGATACAAACTATCTGAAACTGGATTTGGATCAAAACAAAGGCATGGCATTATTTAGTCCTGTGGTCTCAATACATTTTTCAATATCAAAAAGGGGTTGCAATGGACTGCTTTCAAATTACCCTTTCAAACATGCATAGGCTCAGGAAGTGTAGACTTATACATACAATGACCTACTATTAGATGTTAAAAAGGTACTTTAGAAATCTTTTAATTCATTTTAAGTTATAACCAAACGGGAGGGCCTCATAAGGACAAGACTAGAAACAAGTGTGTGTGACAGGTTTCTGTAACTACTCCCAGCGAGGCTAAGGTAAATGATAACCGTTGTAACCATGCTTATGCTCACAAAGTGTTAACTTAAGCCTACAACAACTTGAGTTTAGATTCCAAAAGTTGTTGCACAAATGTTTTTAAATGACTTTAAGTTATAACCAAACGGGAGGGCCCCATAAGGACAAGACTAGAAACCAGTGTGTGTGACAGGTTTATGTAACTACTCCCATCGAGGCTAAGGTAAATGATAACCGTTTTAACCATGCTTATGCTCACAAAGTGTTAACTTACGCCTACAACAACTAGAGTTTAGATTCTAAAAGGTGTTGCATAAATGTTTTAAAATTACTTTAAGTTATAACCAAACGGGAGGGCCCCATAAGGACAATACTAGAAACCAGTGTGTGTGACAGGTTTAAGTAACAAATCCCATTATAGCTAGTCTAAAAATATGTTCAATTTAGTTTCTTCAGTCAGATCTACACAAATCACTCAATTAGTAACAGGATTAAAGCTGTATCAGAAAATAGTTTTTTTTTAAAAAGGTCCTCTCTTGAAAAGGACAACATTAACATATTGTGGAGACAGCTCCATATTACTGAATTACCTCAATATCAAAAAGGGGTTGCAATGGACTGCTTTCAAATTACCCTTTCAAACATGCACAGGCTTAGAAAGTGTAGAAATATACGTAGAATGAACCTATAACACAAGAATGCACTAAGAGAAGATCTCAAAAGGTATAGCTATCCAATAATAAACAAATTAATCACGTACTATAATTATTTGGACGGAAACAATAAAATATGTTGAATCACGTGTTATTGTTGAGTTATATGTGTAAATGTACCTGTTTGTGCAAAGGCCAGTCAGCATCCCCGTAACTGCAGGTTATTTCTTCTTCTGGGGAGTTGTCTCTGCAAATAGGCAGAGATGTGGCATCCAATCAATGACAATAGTTTTCATCTTGCAGTTTGGTGTTTGCCCAGTAACTTGTCTTGAAGAGATGCATCAAGGGGTCAAGACTTAAATAAATAGAGATTGAATGTTAGTAGTATAATTTGCATACTTGGATTGGATACAGTGTTGAAAGTAACATTTAAAAAGAAAAATTATTATTATTATTATAGACTTCAGAAAACACCGTCCAGAACCCGCCCCCCTTCACCTCAATGGAGAGAGAGTGGAGAGGGTCCCCACCTTTAAGTTCCTCGGGGTTCAAATTTCAGAGAGCCTCAGCTGCACACACCACTGCAGCAGTTAAAAAGGCCCAGCAGCGACTGCACTTCATGAGGGTGCTTCGGAGGAACAGACTGAACAAGAAGCTGCTGGTGTCCTTCTACCGGGCGACCATCGAGAGCGTGCTGTCATTCTCCATCTCTGTGTGGTATGCTGGATGTTCAGCTGCGGACAAGAAAGCCCTGCAGAGAGTGATTAGGATGGCAGAGAAAACCGTCGGCGGCTTTTGCACACTGGGACAGAGTTGCACTCTGAATCTCGTTGTATTTTTTGTATAATGACAATAAAAGGCTTTAACTTTAACTAAAACCAAGTGTACACTAAAGTGCATTTCCAGTCACTAAAACAAAGATGTGCTCTGCTCCCACATAGTTTTCCTTGCAAAAGTATCCAAAAGACTAAGGGCAGCAATAGACAATGCTGGAGACAACAGTGTGAAATCTATTTGACTACACATTATTATAAATAAACTACGGTCATGTTGCCGGTTAGAATGTTATGTTTACATATTCACTCACCTGTGTCTGAGACACATTACATTCAAATGTTTATCAACAAAGTTTGATTAAAACATCCAAAGGGTTATGTTTAAATCATCAAATAAGAAATAATAACCCAATTGGCCCCAGAGATGCTTATTTAATTATATATGATTTATTCTGAATAATAACTGTTTGACTAAAACAGTTATTGGGATAACTTTGTATTATTATATGGGAACATGCTCAACTTCCATGTGGCCCATTTATATGATGCCCAGAGTCTGTAACAGGCATATGGTGTTTCTTTTGTTTTAAACACTCACATTTGACTTTTGTAAGTGGCTTATTTATTGATGAATGAATATTTAGAAAATGTTACCAAATATTACAAAATTATCTTATCTTAAATAATTGCATAGCTTTTTGCTTTTCCCTAGCTTTAAATGTTAATACTGCCAGTAAAAAGTAACTTTTTGGAGTTAAGATTCCCATGGGAAACAATGTTGGGATTATAAATTAAGATATTGTGATTTAATTTGCACTATTTGCTTGTGTTTATTTAAAACATACAACATTGTAAGCACTTACCTTTAAACGGTGTGTTAAAAATGTGATCCTGGCATCCTGTTGAAGACCAAGCCGTCTCTTCCTCACTGAACTCTGTTTTCTTAATTGTCAGCCATCTCACCTGTTAGACAGAAGAATAGCCTTAATTATTAATTACACCCTGATCCTGTTCAGGATATTTCAATGTTAGCAGGTTCTCAGTCAGTTCAGTCATTCTGATGTTTAATGATGACCATTGTCACATAACTTATTGAAGCTAATGTTATCCCAACTTAATTGAATAAGAAAGTTAATAGCTAGCTTACGTTATCTGGCTAAGAAGGTATAATATTATGTATTATTTACACCACTTTTACAAAGAGAAGTGCCACATGAAAGCCATGTGCACTAAAAGCCTGACTTAATGGTGTGCTGTTCACTCTCTCAGTCTTCTAACCTCATCATGTAGCGCTTGACTGTTTAGCTGAAGCTGTGAATATTTTTCAGCCAAACTCAACTCTTCAGCTGTTTGCTGGCTGTTCTGTGCTTTGCTCTCTGTTGTATCCATATCATCACTGTTGCCAGTATTTTTCATTATTTGCTAAATGAGTTTTAGCAATTTCCTTAGATGATACATTGAAATATCCTCTTCTTCATCATTTATTACATTATCCACGGATTCTGTTATTAGTCTTGTTAAAGCTCGCCTTGTAATGACATTTCCACTTGAGACTTTAGCTTCATCACACACCTCTTTGAGCTGATCCAGTTGCAACCTGCTGTGCGCGTCCGGTGCTCCAGCCCTGCTCGCTCCCGTCAGGGGAAAACTCAGTCCGAGTTGGTGTCACACACAGACACGGCGAAACATTAATACCTCAGCAGTGCCTCCAATATTTGTTGCACACGTGGACACAAGAGGGATTTCCAGGCGTGCATATGTTTAAAAAACAAGACGATCTTTACTTCAGTTGTTCAATTTACGTAAAAGCAAGACTTTACATCACGTGTCTGCATGCACTCCTCTCATCCCCCGAGCTGCCCCCCCCCCCCACGTGCCTGTGTAAACTTCACTAATTTAGGCATTGCACATGAATACAGTGCATAAATATCCAAAATCCTATGGAGGAGAAATCACGTTGCTTACTTCCGGGTTTTAGGATGCGTCACTGCATCACTGCTCTGTCCTGTTTCTGAACTCACAGCACAGCTTAGTAAGAGTGGGGGAGGGGAGGGCAATCAGGTGCACGTGCACCATGCTCTGCAAATGCACGGGGAAACGAACCACAGGAATATTGCCGTTGTTAACTCCCTGCATCCTGATGCTATCTTTACTTGTACTCAAGCACAAGATCTGAATAATTCTACTTTTACTCAAGTACAAGATCTGAGTACTTCTACTTTTACTCCAGTACAATATCTGAGTACTTTTACTCAAGTACTAGATAGAGTACTTCTACTTTTACTACAATATCTGAGTACTTCTACATTTACTCAAGTACAATATCTGAGTACTTCTACTTTTACTACAGATCTACTTTTACTCAAGTACAATATCTGAGTACTTCTACATTGACTCAAGTACACTATCTGAGTACTTCTACTTTTACTAAAGTACCAGACCTGGGTACTTATACTTTTACTCAAGTACAAGATCTGAGTACTTCTACTTTTACTCCAGTACAATATCTGAGTACTTTTACTCAAGTACAAGATCTGAGTACTTCTACGTTTACTACAAGATCTGAGTACTTCTACTTTTACTCAAGTACAATATCTGAGTACTTCTACATTTACTCAAGTACAATATCTGAGTACTTCTACTTTTACTCCAGTACAATATCTGAGTACTTTTACTCAAGTACCAGATAGAGTAATTCTACTTTTACTACAAGATCTGAGTACTTCTACATTTACTCAAGTACAAGATCTGAGTACTTCTACTCAAGTACCAGATCTGAGTACTTCTATTTTACTCAAGTACAAGATCTGAGTACTTCTACATTTAATCAAGTACAAGATTTGAGTACTTCTACTTTTACTAAAGTACCAGACCTGAGTACTTCTACTTTTACTTTACTACAAGATCTGAGTACTTATACTTTTACTCAAGTACAAGATCTGAGTACTTATACTCAAGTCCAATATCTGAGTACTTTTACTCAAGTACAAGATCTGAGTACTTCTATATTTACTACAAGATCTGAGTACTTATACTCAAGTACAAGATCTGAGTACTTATACTTTTACTAAAGTACAAGATGAATACACTGCATACATATCCAAAATCATATGGAGGAGAAATCACGTTGCGAGGGAACCAGCATCTTATTTCCGGGTTTTAGGACGCGTCACTGCATCACTGCTCTGTCCTGTTTCTCACAGCACGGCTTAGTAAGAGTGGGGGAGGGGAGGGCAATCAGGTGCACGTGCACACCATGCTCTGCAAATGCACAGGGAAACGAACCACAGGAATATTGCCGTTGTTAACTCCCTGCATCCTGATGCTATCTTTACTTGTACTCAAGTACAAGATCTGAGTACTTCTACTTTTACTCAATTACAAGACCTGAGTACTTCTACTTTTACTAAAGTACCAGACCTGGGTACTTATACTTTTACTCAAGTACAAGATCTGAGTACTTCTACTTTTACTCCAGTACAATATCTGAGTACTTTTACTCAAGTACCAGATAGAGTACTTCTACTTTTACTTCAAGATCTGAGTACTTCTACATTTACTCAAGTACAATATCTGAGTACTTCTACTCAAGTACCAGATCTGAGTACTTCTATTTTACTCAAGTACAAGATCTGAGTACTTCTACTTTTAATCAAGTACAAGATCTGAGTACTTCTACTTTTACTAAAGTACCAGACCTGAGTACTTCTACTTTTACTTTACTACAAGATCTGAGTACTTATACTTTTACTCAAGTACAAGATCTGAGTACTTATACTCAAGTCCAATATCTGAGTACTTTTACTCAAGTACAAGATCTGAGTACTTCTATATTTACTACAAGATCTGAGTACTTATACTCAAGTACAAGATCTGAGTACTTATACTAAAGTACAAGATGAATACACTTTATACATATCCAAAATCATATGGAGGAGAAATCACGTTGCGAGGGAACCAGCATCTTATTTCCGGGTTTTAGGACGCGTCACTGCATCACTGCTCTGTCCTGTTTCTCACAGCACGGCTTAGTAAGAGTGGGGGAGGGGAGGGCAATCAGGTGCACGTGCACACCATGCTCTGCAAATGCACAGGGAAACGAACCACAGGAATATTGCCGTTGTTAACTCCCTGCATCCTGATGCTATCTTTACTTGTACTCAAGTACAAGATCTGAATAATTCTGCTTTTACTCAATTACAAGACCTGAGTACTTCTACTTTTACTAAAGTACCAGACCTGGGTACTTATACTTTTACTCAAGTACAAGATCTGAATAATTCTACTTTTACTCAAGTACAAGATCTGAGTACTTCTACTTTTACTCAATTACAAGACCTGAGTACTTCTACTTTTACTAAAGTACCAGACCTGGGTACTTATACTTTTACTCAAGTACAAGATCTGAGTACTTCTACTTTTACTCCAGTACAATATCTGAGTACTTTTACTCAAGTACCAGATAGAGTACTTCTACTTTTACTTCAAGATCTGAGTACTTCTACATTTACTCAAGTGAAGATCTGAGTACTTCTACTCAAGTACCAGATCTGAGTACTTCTATTTTACTCAAGTACAAGATCTGACTACTTCTACTTTTAATCAAGTACAAGATCTGAGTACTTCTACTTTTACTAAAGTACCAGACCTGAGTACTTCTACTTTTACTTTACTACAAGATCTGAGTAATTATACTTTTACTCAAGTACAAGATCTGAGTACTTATACTCAAGTCCAATATCTGAGTACTTTTACTCAAGTACAAGATCTGAGTACTTCTATATTTACTACAAGATCTGAGTACTTATACTCAAGTACAAGATCTGAGTACTTATACTTTTACTAAAGTACAAGATGAATACACTTTATACATATCCAAAATCATATGGAGGAGAAATCACGTTGCGAGGGAACCAGCATCTTATTTCCGGGTTTTAGGATGCGTCACTGCATCACTGCTCTGTCCTGTTTCTCACAGCACGGCTTAGTAAGAGTGGGGGAGGGGAGGGCAATCAGGTGCACGTGCACAGCATGCTCTGCAAATGCACAGGGAAACGAACCACAGGAATATTGCCGTTGTTAACTCCCTGCATCCTGATGCTATCTTTACTTGTACTCAAGTACAAGATCTGAATAATTCTACTTTTACTCAATTACAAGACCTGAGTACTTCTACTTTTACTAAAGTACCAGACCTGGGTACTTATACTTTTACTCAAGTACAAGATCTGAATAATTCTACTTTTACTCAAGTACAAGATCTGAGTACTTCTACTTTTACTCAATTACAAGACCTGAGTACTTCTACTTTTACTAAAGTACCAGACCTGGGTACTTATACTTTTACTCAAGTACAAGATCTGAGTACTTCTACTTTTACTCCAGTACAATATCTGAGTACTTTTACTCAAGTACCAGATAGAGTACTTCTACTTTTACTTCAAGATCTGAGTACTTCTACATTTACTCAAGTACAAGATCTGAGTACTTCTACTCAAGTACCAGATCTGAGTACTTCTATTTTACTCAAGTACAAGATCTGAGTACTTCTACTTTTAATCAAGTACAAGATCTGAGTACTTCTACTTTTACTAAAGTACCAGACCTGAGTACTTCTACTTTTACTTTACTACAAGATCTGAGTACTTATACTTTTACTCAAGTACAAGATCTGAGTACTTATACTCAAGTCCAATATCTGAGTACTTTTACTCAAGTACAAGATCTGAGTACTTCTATATTTACTACAAGATCTGAGTACTTATACTCAAGTACAAGATCTGAGTACTTATACTTTTACTAAAGTACAAGATGAATACACTTTATACATATCCAAAATCATATGGAGGAGAAATCACGTTGCGAGGGAACCAGCATCTTATTTCCGGGTTTTAGGACGCGTCACTGCATCACTGCTCTGTCCTGTTTCTCACAGCACGGCTTAGTAAGAGTGGGGGAGGGGAAGGCAATCAGGTGCACGTGCACACCATGCTCTGCAAATGCACAGGGAAACGAACCACAGGAATATTGCCGTTGTTAACTCCCTGCATCCTGATGCTATCTTTACTTGTACTCAAGTACAAGATCTGAATAATTCTACTTTTACTCAATTACAAGACCTGAGTACTTCTACTTTTACTAAAGTACCAGAACTGGGTACTTGTACTTTTACTCAAGTACAAGATCTGAATAATTCTACTTTTACTCAAGTACAAGATCTGAGTACTTCTACTTTTACTCAATTACAAGACCTGAGTACTTCTACTTTTACTAAAGTATCAGACCTGGGTACTTATACTTTTACTCAAGTACAAGATCTGAGTACTTCTACTTTTACTCCAGTACAATATCTGAGTACTTTTACTCAAGTACCAGATAGAGTACTTCTACTTTTACTTCAAGATCTGAGTACTTCTACATTTACTCAAGTACAAGATCTGAGTACTTCTACTTTTACTACAAGATCTGAGTACTTCTACATTTACTCAAGTACAATATCTGAGTACTTCTACTTTTACTCCAGTACAATATCTGAGTACTTTTACTTTTACTCAAGTACCAGATAGAGTACTTCTACTTTTACTACAAGATCTGAGTACTTCTACATTTACTCAAGTACATATCTGAGTACTTTTACTCAAGTACCAGATCTGAG